TACGACTAGATGGTATCTTGTCACTGTTCCAAGAAGTGGCTTGGTCAAAGGCATTATTTGGCAATGTACATTGGCTGTGACTAACCAGTGTCTCGTTTGGAACTAGCAGTGGAGCGGTAAAGTGGATTTTTCTGAGGGCTTTGACATCTTCCAAAGCATCATGAGCATCAAACTTGTTAGAAAACAGGGTCACATAAACATTGCCCAACTTGTTAGTTGCAGCCTGCAAAGGGCTGTTTGGGTTATCTTGCAGGACCTTGGGTATCAGCAGACTATTGCCAAACAACACTTTCATTTCGTTAAGATCACTTGTAAAGGTAGGGCCTCCATTAAGGAGAAGTCTTGGTGTATCAAAAGCAGAAGCATTGTGACCTAAAAGGATCAAGTAATCAACGGAACTTGAAGAACAAACATCTGAAAATTGCGTGAACGAATGAAGGCAGGTTTGTAAAGGCTTGTCTGGGACAGGGTTTCCAGCTTTGCATAAAACTCTTTGATCCCCAGAAAATCTCACAGTGATGTTGTGAGCAGCAGTTGCAGTAGTTTGTCATACAGCATTCAAGACAAATGTATTAGGAGAATGAGTGTTGTCCGTCGTCTGTAATCATGGAGAGTTGGAGCAGTTCAGTTCTTCTTGTTGTTGAACTTGTTTCAATATCAAATAAAACAAATTTGTATGTGTTTTTGAGGATCAAAGAGTATTTTCTTGCATAGAGGCCCAACTGAAGAAAAGAGCAGTTGTTCACATTTCTTTAGCTCAGTTTTACAAGTGTTTTTGTTTACCTTCTATAGAATTTTGTAGCTGTTGTTTTGTGTACAGGCCTCCAGGACCAGGTTGAGACCAATATTTTGTTCATAGCTAAGTCCTTCCCTGTTTTTGTCTCTGACCACTTATTGAAACCTGTTTAAACGAAGCTTCCTTCTCCTAATTTTGTACTTTTTGTGGATTTCCATTATTTGTCAGCTGAAACCTTCAGATCTTTTTTTTGTTGGTAGCTTGTGCAGTGGGACCCAGGGTCATGAGGAACCGCATAGAGTATTTTTTGGCTCGCCACTTGAAGCCATAGTTGCTACAGACGCTAACATTGATCTAATTAAATGTTTCAAAATATAATTAATTGATTTCATTGTTTAAGCCAATCGTAGAGCGTAGAGAAACTTGATATTGATTGCCATTGTCAAAGCTCTTGCAGTTGGAGTTTGGTTTGAGCCAAAAATATACGTCCGGCATTTGAAGTTTTTGACTCGTGCGGCGATAGAAGCCAGAGCTGAAAATAAAAGAATGGATGTCACACAATACAAAAGAAAAAAATCAACTCATTGAAGTACACACTTCTCGATTTTATTTAATAATAATTTAGCGAAGCGCTTTGCGAATTGAAGCGAGAACAAGCCGGCAAATGTTCGAAAAAATGAAAAACCCTTCATTGTTGTTTTTATATACAGCATATCAATCTCGCGGAGCTCGCTATTTATTGGTTACGATAAACCCAAAACTGCCGCCCAAGTATTCACTCATCCATTTCGTCACACAAAATATTGCGTAAAAGTGTTTTCATGTTTCTCCC